GGGGGGTACACGTAGACAAACATTTACAAATCACGCGCACACTTTAAGAATCACCTAAATGTAATATCCTCAGGTCATATTTATAAATAGCGCTCGTAAACTATTGGGACCTGCATCCGCATAAAAATAGTTCCGTTACGGTGGTTTAAGTCTTAACGCAGGCTAAAAGATTGGGTTAAAGACTCTGCCCGGGGTAGGGGAGATGTTTTAAAGCGAAAGTTGTTTTTTTAGTTCTTTATTTCGAGTTAATCGTGATTTGAAAGGCTTTGTAGAACAGGCGTCCTGAATCCTTCAATGTCATAGCCACAAGAACAGGTACTAAATTTCGCGGTGCAACGCACCACAACACGACTTAATCTGGAAAACTCAGCTTGGTATCTTTATGTAATCCTTATAATATAAATTCTGAAAAGTTCTCTGCAACGCAAATGTTTGACTGCAGACTTTTGAAACAGTTCGCGCAAGTTCATGAAAAAGCCAACTAAAAATGTTATAAATCTAAACTTATTTTGGTAATCCGAATATCTCCGGCATACTGACTTACAGAGGGAAAAAAACTTTCTCTGTGACTCGCAACATTATTCTAGGGGCATTGTGTTTTAATTTTAACCTTCAAATTACTTCAAATTCGCGTACATGTAACAGTTTACGTATTACAATACTATGTGTCAGTTTGAAGGATTAGACATTAATTTAAGTAGATGTTTTACTCCACCTACGGAAAAAATAAATACCATTTAGGAGGCTGGTTGCTTCGATCTCAGGGCCACGTAATACAAAATCCCAGGAGTCAGGCGGAGATACTTGATAAAATGTAAAAAAAATTTTTTTAAAAACAAACAAACCTATTAAGCGCACAGGAATCGAACTCACATCTTTCGCGTGCCACAGTGAACTGTGCTACACCACAGACGCTGATCGGAGGCCCTGCCTCTTAAATAACCTAACAGTGTTGATAGGGGCGTTAAACCTATACCGTTTTATTTTCCCACACGTACGCTGATCCTGGGTTATAGAAAATCCAAACAAAATTAGGTGCACACATAAACAAAACTAGAGATGAGGCATGGCCTAGGTCGGCTAGCTGGGTAATCACGATTTATCGACCGGACATGGCGGAGAAATGTGAGCAGGCGTAGATGGATGGCACGGGGCCCTGCGAGTGAGTACGCACTTTCGCCACAAGGTCGATATCTTGTAGGAAAACAGTACATACTTACGAGTGTATGTAACATAGATAGATAGATAGATAGATAGATAGATAGATAGATAGATAGATAGATAGATA